TATGGAGACTTTTGAATATATCAAAGCTCCCAATGGGATAAAATTCATCATTTTGGCAATTTTTGTATTTTGAAGAAAATTTGAGAAATACATGTAAGTCAACTAGTACTTTTTAAGCATCTTGTCAGGAGGGTAACATGTGTTAGCCCTGCAGTGTAATAAAATGTGTACAAGTTTTAAAAAAAAGGAATCTGTCATCTGGTTAAAAATGTTTTTGCCATTTGTAAAGAATATGCCTTTACTCTTTGGAGTATAATTTGAAATGCCAACATAATTTATTGTTTTTCTGGTTAAGATTTAAACCAATGAAAGTAAAGGCACCTGCAGGGAAAATGCTGCCACAGCCTGGAAGACCTCACCGATGCCCTCCAACAAGCGGCTGTTTGGAAAGTCAGACACCTGGAAAGTCTATGTTATTAACGCCATCTTCAAACTGTCATTAGATTTCAATTAACCTAATGCAGCCAAAGACTCCAATTTCTTTTTTCATCACAGACTGTACTTCTGTTTTGGACGTTCCCCAAAGAGATGGAAGGATCAGAACTCTGATATCTACACATACCTCCAGGAGGAGTGGGAGGCGGTGCTGGTGGGAACAGTGAAAATGACACTGATGACTGGACAAGTCGTCCTCACTGTCCTAACCTGTTTTCAATTCACTGGCCAACCAGATGTTGTCATGAGTTCTTGTGTTTCTGGTTTTGATTTCGATGAATTCTTCTCTGAGTCTCAACTCTGGTTTTGAAAATGGGGTGCATTTAATATTGTGAGACAGCTGGTGGGATTTCAGGGAATCACAGCGAACTGTTTGCAGAGTCGAGCAGAACCAAGATACAAAGCTTCTTATTTACTCTCTTCTACTGTGTAGTTGCTTATCACAATACAATGAAGATACAGTTACTACTATACTTACATTATTGTAATCCTAGTGGGAGCACACAAAGACTTAAAAAATCAATAGCCATAAAAGAGTCTTCTTGTAAGCTCTTTGCATAAAGGAGCTGCTTCAGTTGCTGCAATAGGTACTCACCACATCCCTGACACTTTAATCCCTGGATGAAAGGGAATAACATCTCTGAGCCATTAAATGTTAAATCTATCTTGGACTCACGCAGGAATGACTGGCTAGACTCAGTGAAGGATCAGCATGCAGAGTTTGGCACATGAGAGAGATTACAGAGTGGGTCTCACGACTCTGAGACCATTGACTACCTTGAGCCATCCGGCATAGAAGAAGAATTGTAGGAGAGTAAAGATTGGAATGTAAAGATCTAAGTCATGCCCAGCGTAGCCTTCGGTGGGATCCAAAAACTGGCGTCCAATCAGGCACGCAAAAAAGAAGGTGTAGACAGCCAGAGTGACAACCTGGAATAGAGAGAAACCCAAGTGAGAGCACAGCGCTGGTGGCCCACAGCCAGTGCCAGAGGGAGCAAGCAGAAATAAAAGTCATGTGCACGGCATTTGATACCTGGGTGTAAACCAGCGGGATCCCAACCCAGTCATAACCGAATAAGAGGCTGCACCAAGAGCGGTATCGGTTCATTTCCTAAGTCAGAAACAGATAAAACATGATTTACTAAAATGATGGGTGTGGTAATCAATATTTAGTAGGATTAGGAATGTGGCCATGTCTTTTATGACTTTATCTGTCAAACAAGGGGACTTTGCAAAGCTAATAAGTTGGTTCTGAACACCACCCCACAAGGAAAATTCTGAAAATAACAAGCCCTGAACATCATTCAACAATGTACAAAAAGAAGTACATTTGAATATATATATATATATATTAAATATTCAGATAAATTAGGACTTTATAGAAGTATCTCCTACTCTATTGAATCCATAATTTCCAAAATGATGTTGGTCCAAAGTGGTGATGGGAAGGCAGAGGTTAATATTTTAAACTAGATGCATGAATTCGTGCACCAGTGGGGTCCCTCGTCCTGACCTGTGGGATAGGGCTGAAACCGGCTCTCTGACATCCCCCATGGGGTCCCTGATTGTGAGAGGGAGAAGGCCAGGCTGAGGGACCCCACCAGTGCGCAATTGGGGCCGGGGAGGGATGCAGGAGGTTGGCCAGCTGGGGAGGGACTGCAGGAGGGCTCCAGGGCATGTTCAGCCTGTCTTGCTCAGTCTCGACTGGCGGGACCCCAGCAGCAAGCTGAGCATCTGCCCCTTGGTGATCAGTTCACGTCATAGCAACTGGTTGACCAGTCAACTGTCTGCCCCCTGGTGGTCAGTGTATGTCATAGCAACTGGTTGACTGGTTGCTCCCTGGTGGTCAGTGCATGTCATAGTTAGCAGTTGAGTGGCCTTAGCATATCATTAGCATATTACGCTTTGATTGGTTGAACAGCTGACTGGTCGACCGGACACTTAGCATATTAGGCTTTTAGTATATAGGATAAGTCATTTCTAGCCATTTTGGTATATTATGTGGAGATATTTTTGTTTGTTTTTCTGTTTTTAAAACATGCTTACCATAGATCTTAGCAAAAAGAAATAAATCTATCCTAACCCTCCACCCCCGCCAAATAAGGCTGCTTATATTGACAGAAAATCTATCTTTCTTTGAAGCAGGAAGGACTGGGATCCATTGACTCCCTCCCCACCCTCCCACCCCCCAATTGCACATAAATTATTATCTGAGACTGGAAAGAAGAGTTCACTTTCATTCAGAAGCTATTTTTAAATCATTCACTCCTCTTAGCCTAATCCAGGCAGGAGACTGTCATGGCACAAATCTATCTAGCTCTTACATTAATTTGTTTCTCAGGTGAATTCAGGGTTATTTTGTTGAATAAAAACACAATTTTGTTTCCTGGAACATCTGAAAAGCTGGCTTAACCTTGAACTATTCCAATTTGGGGAACTGACTGGGGAGGTGCTGGAGCCAGGGATGCAAATATGCTGTGTGGGCACCAGATCCTGCAGAACCCTTGGCAGACATTGCCAATCAATCAAGGGACGCTTTCCTACAGAGCACATTGCAAGCCCAATACTGTTAACACAGAGTTTCCAAGCAACCAAATGCCAATCAACCCGAGTTAGAACCTGTGTGCTGTCCTGTCCTGCATGCTGAGGGTTCTGAATTAAGCAAAGAAGCTTCGCCCTGGTCCAACCTGTCACATCCAGCTCCCTCTTGGTCTCTGATTAGCATCGTGTGTGTGTGTGTGTGTGTGTGTGTGTGTGTGTGTGTGTGACAATTTATGATGTACTTACAGTCATCAATGATTGCAGATCAACACTGTCTCTGATTCTACCTTCCTTCCGGGCTTTCGCTGCCAGATTTCCAAACCAGATGAATGGAACCCAATATTTCAAATGAGGAGACTTGAGGTGGTCAAATAATTTTCTTTCATCTGTTGTCATAAAACCTTTGTACAAAATAAAAATAGCTGGATTATACAGACTTAGTTTAGCACTAACACATTGCCATAAGTATTTCAGTGTCTACTATGTGAGTGTATAATGGAGGAATATTAAAGAAATATCGAGGTTCCTGTCACAAGTACTTTATACTTGTGTTAGAGATAAGGAATGTGTATGCATAAGCACACACACACACACACACACGGTATGTGAACACACAACTTATGCTTCACTACATGAGGCAATGCATGTTGGCAGTCCTTGACAGAGATGGCCAGTAGGGAGTAAGGCCATATTGAGTGTGGCCCAAGCATCTGGGGAAGGTTTCTTCTTTAGGTTTTGATGTACTCATCCAAAATTGGGAACGAGAACACTTAGAATTGTTAGGATTAAAAGAATACAAGGTGATAATGTATACAAAGCATTTAGTGTAGTGTGGAAACATGGGCCACATGACTCTTCTCCTGACCACTCCCTTCCAAGTCTTAATTAATCAGGTCCTCATCTGTGAAGCCTCCCTCCCCGAATTTCTCCGCTTCAACGCTCCCACCACCGGCTCTCTCTTGCCGTGCATTATGGCATGTTACACAGAAATGTTTCCCCTGCAGAGTTCCTTGGGAAGGACAAGAGCATATTATTTTCATCATTCTCACAACATTTTGCATCTACTTGAAAGGTACTTCTTTAACTGTGTGTGTGTGTGTGTGTGTGTGTGTGTGTGTGTGTGTGTGTAACACAATTTGCTTGAGTTTGCAGAGAACTCTCTAAGCCTCGGTTTTCTTATGTGTAAAAGAGAGATGATAATATGTACTTCACTGAGATGTAGAATTACCTGAGATGATGAACACATGTCAAGAGGCTGACAATGCTTAGCACACACTTAGCACTCAGTAAGGGCTGAAGCATAATGTACTATGTGAAACTTTAGCTACCCACCCCCTCCCATCTACACACCAAGGAAAGGAGAGATTTGAATAGTAGGAGGAATAATGTAGCAGGTTTATTTGATAAACAAACATTTATTGAATGTCTACTATGTACCAGGGTTTTTTCATACAAAGATTCACACTAAAAGCTTACAGTTTACACTTAACCTTTTATTTTTTTAAAAGGGAATAATTCAAATGGTGCAAAAACCCCAAAGGGCCAAAGGAATATTAATGGGGAAAGTGAGTCTCATTTTCCCAGCCACACAGTTTCCAGAAAAATATCATGAATTTCACATAGCCCTAATTTTTAAAAACACAAATGGATTTATATGACACACATGTCTATTGTTTGCTTCTATTTTCAGTTATATCTTGAAGATATTATTTATTAATATATAGAGAGCAGTGTCCTTATTTTTAATGGCTGCTTCCTAGTTAATTGTATACAATACTTATTTAATGAGTCCTCTTTTGAATAGACTTGAAGTAGTTTTAAATTTTTGTTATTAAAATTAATGCTTCCATGACTATCCTTGTACTTAACCCTTTGACTTTTTAAAATATATTTTTTTATTGATATCAGAAAGGAAAGGGGAGGGAGAAAGAGATAGAAACCTTAATGATGAGAGAGAATCATCCATCAGCTGCTTCCTGCACGCCCCCGACTGGGGATGGAACTCACAACCCAGGCATGTGCCCTGACGGGGAATCAAACCTTGACCTCCTGGTTCATAGGTCAAGGCTCAACCACTGAGTCACGCTGGCCAGGCACCCCTTTGATTTTTTAAGTGGACTTTTAAATGTTCATTATGATTTAGTATAAATAATATTTTCTGAATTAAAGTTTATTTCAAAAACTGATTATTTGTGAAATAATAATTTTTCAGTTACTTTTGTCTCCGGGATGCAACCATTTACTTATGAAATTCTGATAACACATTTAGATAAAAATATACTTTTGCCCCAATGTAATACAGTTTTATCCTTGAGCATCTTAATCAGTGTATGAATCTGGCCATCCTGTTTAAAGTAATCCTCCCTCCCAACCACGAAGGCTGAATTTTACTTAAGAGGTGTTGCTGTAGCACAAAGAAGTCAAGGGAAAAGTGAGACTTGGTCATTTTGAGAGTCACCAATTCATAGAGCTTTGGAGTTACCTAGATTTTTGATATGATCTGGGCCAGTGTGTTTGAGAATAAGATCCAGGGATTAAGGGTATCGGAATCACCTGTGATACCTGTTCTTGGAGGGAGCTGGGCCCCAGCCTCACCCACTAAAGCATTCCATAGCGCAGAGTCTCACGTGGATACTTTTAGAAAATACCAATGCATTGGCCTTACCCCCAAAGCCTGATTCTAGAGCCTGATTCTCGAGTGAGGTCCAGGCATCGGCATGCTTTTCAGTCTTCCTGGGTGATTTCACGGAACTGGGCTCAGGAAGTTGCATGTTTGCCAGACTCTACAGGAAAATCTAACACTGACCTATAGCAGTGTTTGAAAATCACTGCCCCACCGACAGAAGGTTCTGTTTATTCATATTTCAAACAAACAGAGTAACAACTACAAAGCTAATATTTACTAACAGGAGACTAGTTTTAGATAATAGATTATTTATATTAGCTTAGAAGGGTTCTGCTCATGCCTGGGAAATTGGACTCTCTTCGGAGTTCAGAAATCAAAATGAGCCTGATAATTCTGTTCTCATTTCTCGGTGCATCTCAAAGTCGTTGCATGAGCCAGATAACTATGCTTTCCTCCCCACCCCGCCCAGGACTAGCAGAGCATGATTAATTCTTATTACAAGAGTTAATAGATGGCCTGGCCTGTGTGGATTGAGCATTGTCCCGTGCAATAGGAGGTCAAGGTTCAATTCCTGGTCAGGGCACATGCCTGGATTCACTGCCCCACCGACAGAAGGTTCTGTTTATTCATATTTCAAACAAACAGAGTAACAACTACAAAGCTAATATTTACTAACAGGAGACTAGTTTTAGATAATAGATTATTTATATTAGCTTAGAAGGGTTCTGCTCATGCCTGGGAAATTGGACTCTCTTCGGAGTTCAGAAATCAAAATGAGCCTGATAATTCTGTTCTCATTTCTCGGTGCATCTCAAAGTCGTTGCATGAGCCAGATAACTATGCTTTCCTCCCCACCCCGCCCAGGACTAGCAGAGCATGATTAATTCTTATTACAAGAGTTAATAGATGGCCTGGCCTGTGTGGATTGAGCATTGTCCCGTGCAATAGGAGGTCAAGGTTCAATTCCTGGTCAGGGCACATGCCTGGATTTCAGGCTCAATTCCCAGTAGGGGGCATGCAGGAGGCACTCAATCAATGTTTCTATCTCTCCCTTCTTCTCTCCCTAAAACCCGCCCCCCCCCCAAACCATTTTTTTAAAAGAAAGAATTTAATAGATGAACTTGACCTGTCTTGGTTCTATGCATCATCCTTTACCTGGAAACCTATTCTCAGACATTTCATATCAATTACTTAACAGTTATATTCTTGGGATTATAGTGCAATTTTCAAAAATATCCCCATTTGTATACTGGCTGCAATCTTTGTCATTTGACCAAGAAATAACTTTACTTTTAGTTATTTTTTATTCAGGAATATGGATCAAATTCTGCTGGCAAGTCCTTTCTTGGCTTCTTAGCCGAAAGCAAATATGAAGAGTGAGGGTTTAGCACTGACCAGTGTCTCAGTGGTTAGAGCACCAGCCCTCTCACTGAAGGGTTGAGGGTTCGATTCCTGGTCAAGGGTACAGACATGGTTTGCAGGTTCAGTCCCGAGCCTCAGTCAGGGCTCGTGTGGAAGGCAACCAATTGATGTGTTCTCTCACATCTATGTTTCTCTGTCTCCCTCCCTCCACTCTCTCTAAAAATAAATGAAAAAAAAATCCTCAGATGAGGATTAACAACAGCATTAAAAAAGAGTGAGGGTTTATTTAGTGCAAACGCCAAAGCTGAAGTCAGGCCTCCCCCACCCCCCCACCATGTAGCACACTTACCACTGACTGGAAGCGGTCATGCAAAGCAAGGAAAGCTGGTGGTTTTTAATTTTAGCCCAAATATATTGAAAGATGATTAACCAGACATTAATATGTCCGCCAAGAGTGTACAGGCAGAATAATTTTTGTTATTCCTTGCGGGGTCACACATCTTAGCCAAAGTAACCCTGTCTTCGGAAATCAAGTTTTCGATCAATTGAAAGAAAATCTCTTGCCGAAACCGGTTTGGCTCAGTGGATAGAGCGTCGGCCTGCGGACTGAAGGGTCCCAGGTTCGATTCCGGTCAAGGGCATGTACCTGGGTTGCGGGCATATCTGAGAGGCGAGAAAAAATATAGGATTTGAATGCCTGATGGTTGAGAAAAAGTCATACCAGTCCAGCATAAGAAAATGAAACAACTAGTTGCCCTGTTGGCGTGGCTTAGGTGGTTGAGTGTCCTGCCATGCCCCGAGAGATTGCCCGTTTGCCCGTTCGATGCCAGGTCTGGGCACATGCCCAGGTTGTGGACTCAATCCCCAGTAGGGGGTGTGTGTGGGGGGGCAGCCCATTGATGTTTCTCTCTCATGGATGTTTCTAACTCTCTATCCCTCTCCCTTCCTCTCTGTAAAAAATCAATAAAATATAAAAAAAAAAAGAAAAGAAAAGAAAATCTCTAGATTGCTGATCAAATCAATTCAAAGAGCATTTGCTATCAAAGGACATGTTATCCTCATCAGTACTTCAGGCCATTTTAACCAGAAACCGGTGATCTTGTTCAGAATATGGTCTTTATCCGCATCTCTAAGGCTAAGTTAACCACAGGTATTGATTTCCTGCCGTTTGGCAGCAGTATCAGTTGGCTGGTCCTCACAATCTTTGTCTCCTTCACATGTCAGTCTTCACGCCATGCTCCCGTGGGCCCTATCCATACTCCTGACATTGCTATTTTATCTCGCCATTGCACCTGCCTGGAGTTTCTCTTGTTATATCTTTCCTTCTGGCTTTCTGGCTGGTACAGCTCTGCTCAGCAATTTTCCTGCTGCTTATCCCAAAGAACCCTCCTTAATATTTCAGGTCAAAGTAAA